GGAACTCAGTTCATTTCCAACCAAGATAACTTAGCAAAAATTTTTCTAATCTTTCCTTAGCAAAGACAAAACCTCTCATTTAAGTCCCTTAAAATCCAGAAAAGGGAGAATGGGAGGAAATAACTAAAGCAATCAAAACCTCTTGTTAACAAATCTAGAAGAATTTCTTGCAAAATATGTCTGGCTATGAACTATGTTTTGTGGTGTCTTGAATTGGGGGCCTTTGTACTTAAGGCAGCTGTATCAGGAGGAGATGAGCTAATCTCAGTGATAACAGCAGTCTGCCATTTCCCACAAGCTTTTTTTTCCCAAACTCCTGGTTTTGCTCTGCTCTGGTAGTAGATTAAAAAAATAAAACAAGCCACCCACAAAACTATGATATTTCAGGCAAAGCCTCAACAGTTGAATTTGGATGGAATGAACCAACAGATGTGATTTATGTTCCTTGTTTTGAAATTGACCTGTGGGAACCTGGCACTTTGCAGCACAAATTAACCTTTATGGAACAGTGAAGCATCAGCAAAGCAAAGTCACTGATAGGGTAAATTGGCAGGAATTTGGAGGGGCAATATATCTGTCCCTGGGGCTGCCAGTCTCCACAAAAGCCTGGCAGTCATAGTCCCACATCTATCAGCCTGGTTTTTTAAACCCTGTGGACAGCCAAGAAACCTCCCAGCCACCTTCTTTTGTGCTCCAGAGCTGGTGTGTGGCACCTTAACACAAATCCCTTTCACAAATCCCCTTCCATAAGGGAGGCTGTCTGGGCTTCTGGGAAGCCAAAAAGATACCTCTCTTAGGGGACAGCACAGCTCCAGTGACTGGGATCTCCTTGCTGGTGAGGTTTAGACAACTTTAATGCTGGTTACAGTCACTTGTAAAAGAATCTCTTCTGGTTCTGCTTGCTCATCTGTGGGAGGGATCCTGTGAGCCCTCATAGTCATAAGGAAAAGCCCTGCATGTTCCCAGTGCTGGAAAAACACTTTCATGGAGCCACAGAGTTTTAAAACACATTCACATGAAGAGAAATAAAGCAGACTGCTTGGCAAGCCAGCAAATTTACCCTTCACACAGAGGAACCCTGAGTTTCTACCCCCAGGCGGTTTTTGTAGGTAGGTACAAAGCAGCACCAGTTCCCCTGAGAGTGAAAACATCTGCTGAGAGCTGCTTTGTGGTACAGTGCATTTCAGCAAGTATAAGAGTTTGGCTTCTACCAACACAAAGAGAAAAGGCTTGACTGACAACAGCAAAACAACCTGGACACACCAACCCTGTTGGAACAAGCATTAGGGACTTCAAACCATACAAAGAGGCAACTTTGGCAGTATTTCCAGCAGTCACATCTCTCAAAGCAGGTATTTGCTGGTAGCTAATAATAAGAAAGACTCGGGGGTATTTGTCCTTTCCACAAGTCAGTGCCTGGTATTTTTCAGCTCAGAGATCATCATCAGGAATCCTGATAGCTTTTTTTTTTACGGGGGTTGGTGCTTTGAGGTTATTTTTCTGCCTGGCTTGAGCTGAGCCATGCAACCCTAATTCTTTATGCCAGCTGGCTTTGCATGGCAGTCGATACCATAGTCCTCCTGCCCTAGATCCTAGCTGGCTGCAAACAGCCTCAGTGTGTGCACTGCAAATTGAATTTCAGCCTACATTCCTGAAGCCACCAACTCCTTAAGAGGCACTTCTGAACATCTGTGCACAGCTGTGTGACAGCAGTGACAGAGGGCAGCTCCCCAGCTGTCGGAGCAGCCTCCCCTCCTGCCAAGGGGGCCACCAGAGGAGGCACCCCAGACCACCTGTACCTGCTCCACCAGCAGGCTTCTGCTTTGTGTCTTGTCCTGTCTGCAAGATCTGGAAGCAAACCTGAGCTGCATTTTCATAGGCAGAGAGCAAAGAGACAATCTGTTTAAAGATAATGCTGTAAAGCAGATGGAAAAGCTCACAGCATCCACCTCCTGCATCCTCAGCACTGCAATTAGCTACAAAGAGGATGCTGGGACACACAGATGGGACGTGGATAGTGGTGCCCTGACAGGGAGCAGGACAAACCCAGGGCCAGCTCTGAGTGCAAGTGTGAGGGCAAAGCAGGAGCCCAGCCAATAGGGAGCACCATGGCATCACTGCCTGTTCCCCCAGAGCAAAAAGACAGGCAGCTTTTTCTGCTGGCACAGCACCGAGAGCAGCCAGGCAGCTTCAAGGAGCTGGCCATCAAGTAGGATGCCTTTCTCCAGATATGCCCAACAGTCCTGCCCACATAAAACCCACTCCAGAAAGGACCAGCTGGATCTCTCCATTTGCCAAGTGCAGGTAGAGCAAGGGTAATTTCCATCCTTTCAAACTCTTCTCAACTGTGTCTCCCTTTGCCCTTCAGCAGGAAGTTTTGGCTGCTGCAGAATTACTTTTTTATGTATGGCTTCATGATTTCCATACAAAAAAAAGACATGACATCTGAGAGGTCTGGAAAACAATCAAGGACAAGGTCAAGGCTAATTCTGCAGGGCTGAGAATGTTCTCATTCATTTTGCTATTTAATATCAAAGAAAGATCCAACAGGATGTGCAAAACAAGTCCTGCCTCCAGCTCCATTTGAACAAAAAAAAACTTTTAAATCACAAGAGCAATCAAACACAGTTAGGACCCACTGCTGAAAACATGTTTCTGGATCTCTTCTTAGATACTATCTTGAAAGGCTGCTCTCTCTTGGGCTGAAAGGACGTGTGAGAGCATGCAGACACCTCAGAGCATATCTACCACAAGCAGGAAGCCCAAGTGCTCTGTCAGCCAAGGACTTCTTTCTGTGCAAAAACTATCACAAAAACAACTTATCCTGCCTGTTTGTGGTCTCCCTGTGCTGGATCCCACCCTAGATAGTGCTTTAAGGAGGCTGCATCTGTTTGTGATGGGAAATGGCAAAAAACAGAACTTCCACTATTTGACTACCACAGTATTCAGGTCCTTCTAGAAACATAGAAAAGTGCCATCTCCTATCCAGAAAGATACTGGAAAAGGCTCTATCCTGTCAGGCTGATGGGATGATGTTCTCTCCCATCAGTGTTTCAAAATCCATGTGAAGATTACAACACCCCACCCTTCCCACCCAAGGCTCCTAACTGCCTGGAGGCCCTGAGGCATAGAGAAATACTTCCAGATGTCTAGCACAGTTGTTGGATGAGTCCCCGCCTCTACTGCAAGCCAGAGCTGTGCATATCACCAGAAGGCCCACGGCACAAGGCAGGTTCATGCAGCTGAGGGAAATCTCTGAAGGGTCAGTTGTGACACCACTGCTGAGCAGTCCATCCTGCTCCCTCCCCTGACATGCTGGGCCAGAGCTCTCCCAGCAGCAGAAGCCAAAAGAAGAATGGGTCCCCTGAATGATGGAGGACAGAACATTTTGCCAGTTGTTCTGCATCACATGCTCCAGTGAAATTCTTGAACAGGTAACATCCCGCAAGGTGTCTTGCTGCAGATCTGCACACCTGAGGAGACCTTCTCCAAGGAAGGGATGCAGTTTGTGCACAGAATGGCTGGCCCACTCTCAGACCTTTCCTCAGCTAAGCCGCTGCTGTGAGGATCAGAGGACAGAAAAAGTCTTGTGGGACCTGTTGGAGGCTGGCAAGTCAGTGGCCTTCCATATCCCCTGCCAGTTTCTCATGTTAGCATTAACCTCATCAAACTCTGTCTCCATAATCTGGATCAAAGCCCCACCAGGTCAAACCAGCATCCAGTCTGGGACAGACACCAGGAAGTGCAGCCAAGGGTTGGGACAGTATCTTAGAAGTATCAATACCTGTTTTGGAATGAACTCTCATATTCCTTTGGACAAGACAAGTGAGAACACAGCCTTCTTCTCAAGTGCACACCTGAAGCATGACATCTTTCAAACCCATCTGCTCTCTTGTCTGGGCTGGCAGAGCCAAGAAGCAGCATGCATTTTAGGACTCCTGACACCACTGGGCAGGAAAGGCTCTTTCCAAATACTAGACACAGGCACAAACTGAAGCCATTTTCATCTCATTCCACATTGCCCCAAAGGATGAAATTCCTTTCCTCCAAGAGTTAATACTGTACCACACTGTTTCTGGCTAATATGTAAGCCTAATGTTTTGGACAAGGTTTGTGAAAAGTCACACAGGGCATTTAATGGGCAACATCAAAGCACATAACTCAATCCTCACCCAGTCTTTCATGCCTGCCTTGGGAGTTTCAGAAACATTTTTTTTCAAAATATTTGGCTTCAGCTATGAGAAGCAAGAGAAGGAGGAGGTGGAGGTTGTGACCTGCAGATACTGTGTTTATGAGAACCTCCTCCACCAAAACAGCACTGGCACTGCAATCTTGTCCTTGAGATGTTTAGTATATGGTTTGCATGCTATGTCTTACTCCTCCCTTCCACCCAGCAAAAACTACTCTCAGAGGCCAGACTTTCTAGTAGAGGCTCTACAGCATAACAATTTCTTCCTTGCACACCATCCCTAAGAAAAAGCTTGGGATGAATCAAGCTCCTGTCGAAAATGCTGCAAGTGCAAACTGCTACATGCAGCTCACAGGAAAGTCACTGTTTTCATTTCAAACCAGAGCAAGCCAGTGAATGCGGCTTTCACATCCATTTAATCATTTCCTTTCCTCTCTGCTTCCAACCATCCTGGGCAGAACACTCGCCTGAATAGCTCATCCCCTTTTTTCCATCTCACAGACCAAATTGCAAGCTTCGGGCAAAGTATGAAAAGCGAGGGCGTGTAGTTCCAGCACCGCAACAGTGAGTGCCCAAGTTCCTCTGCGTTTCTGGTCTGAAGAGTTACTCCAAGTTTAGGCAGCGCCATCCGACTGGGACTCTCCAGTCCATTTAAGGTGGGTCTGAAATCATGTCCATTTTACAGAGAAGCGCCCCGATGGGATAAACCGGCAGGAGGAGCGCTCGGGAGGCGCGGCGTTTCCCCACGACAGCGGGCAGCAGCACGGACGTGCCCGTCCCGCACCCTCCCGCCCCGCTCCGTGCCCCGCACCTTGCTCGCAGGCTCCCTTGCTGCGCTGGCTGATGGCGGGCTCGCCGCGGCTCTGTGCGCGCAGGCTGGCGGCGCGGAGCTGGCAGCCGCTGCCGTACGTCAGCCCGTCGCTGCCGCACACCGGGTAGCGGCTCTTGCAGAGGCACACGCCGGGTGGGCCGGCGGCGGGGGGAACCGGGCCGCCTTTCGCCTTGCGGCGCTGGCGGCTCTTCACGCACTCGAGGCCGGGGGCGCAGCGTCCCCCCGCAGCGCCGCCGCCGCCGCACGCCTCGCCCTCGCCGCGCCCGCACTGCCAGCAGCAGCCGCAGGCGTCCCGCACCCGGCCCAGCGGGCAGCCCCGCGCCGGCAGCGCCGGGCACCGCGCCGGGTCGCAGGGCCCGCAGCCCCCCGCCGCCGCCGCCGTGCCCGGGGCGGGCACCGCCAGCGCCGCCAGGAGCAGCGGCAGGAGCAGCAGCGGCATCGCGACGGGCGGCATGGCGGCACGGCGCCGCCCGTCCGCCGCTGCCGCTTAAGCCGCGGCGGGGAAACCCCTCCCCGGCGGCGCCGCCCCGGTCACAGCCGCGGTCGCCGCCACGGCTGCGGGGCGCCGCCGCCATCCCGCGGCCGCCGGACACCCGGCACCGCCGGCTGTGCCTTTGGTGCGTCCCTCCCGGCTGTCCTGCACTCAGCTCCGGCACCGCGACTGTTCCCCCTGCTACTTCCAGGAGAAAGAGACCCGTAGGAGCGGGCTGGCAGCCGGCTGAACACGAGCCACCTGTGCCCAGGGGCCAAGAAGGCCAGTGGCATCCTGGCCTGGGTCAGTAAGTGTGGCTAGCAGGACCAGGGCAGAGACTGTCACCCTGCACTCGTCACCTGGAGTGCTGTTCTGGGCCTCTCACTACACGGACATTCAGGTGCTGGAGCATGTCCAGAGAAGAGCAACAAGGCCCGTGAAAAGTCTATCGAGAGCATGTCTTACAAGGGCACCTCATTGCTCCCTACAACTCCCTGAAAGGAGGCTGTAGTGAGGTGGGGGATATGTCTCTTCTGCCGTGCCTGCAATGAGAGAATGGAAGGAAAAGGCTTTAAGCTGAGTCATAGGAAATTCAGACTAGATATTGAAACATTTTTCATTGTTAGGGTGGTGAGGCTCTAGAATTGGTTGCCCTGGGAGCTGGTGGATTCACCATTCCTGGAGGTGTTTAAAAGACATCTGGATCTGGTGCTGGGTGATGATTTAGTGGTTATGGCGTTACAGTGGTAGTGTTGGGTGAATGGTTGAACTTAATGATCTTAAAGGTCTCTTCCAACTTTGATGATTCTATGATTCTTGCCACTCACCTATGCTCAGCTCATAGCCACTGCCTGTGGGGGGCTGCAGAGGTGCTGCTGAGCCTGTCAGGTTCCTTCAAGAGTGGAGGCAAGAAAGAAAAGGAGAGCTGTCTGTTTTCTCCTGTCCATTCTTGGGACAACATTGCTTTCTGCTGCCTTCTTTTGCTTGAGCTTATGGCTCCTGCCTTGGAATGGCTCCTGAACAGTCTCCTAGAGTGGGGATCTGTTGCCATCAGAAGACAGTGGGAATAGTCCTCAGGCAGCACTGGGCAATGTTGCTGTCAAAACAGTGTTCTGAAAGTGCCAAACTGAAAGCACCACGGTGCTGATAAACCCCTCAGGCAGAGGGGCAGCAGCACAGCACATTCCCTGCCCTCATGCCTGCCTGTGCCTGCGGGAGCTGCCATCTCCTGCAGGGCAGTCCAGGATGTGATGATGTCTAGACTTGGTTCTGCCAGGGCCTCCGCAGTGGGTGCTGCTTTGCCACTCTGGGGAGGAGAAGGACAGAGGTAGTTGGTGTCCCACGCTGTGGTACTGAGGGTTTGGGTTGTCAGTGCCTGAGCCCTGCTGGGTAGTCCCCAGGTCACTGTAGGGAGCGCTGCCACTCCAGGATGGTGTAGATGAATGGAGACGAGAGATTTCTGAAGGCTGCTCTTGGGGTATAAGGTTTATTAGGGATGGAGAAAGGTCCTGCTTCGAGCTGCCAGACACAGCATGTGGCAAGGCTTGAGAGGGTGGGGGAGGGGAGAGGCAAAAGGATGCTCTAGGAGAGGGGAAGTTCCAAGAGGAGGGGAAGTTCCAAGAGACTGTGTGGCCCCTCGGAGACCCCTTATCAGGGGGCTTCAAGGTGGGCTGGAACAAGGCTTAGGCCAATGGGGTTACAGGCACTTGATGTTTTAGGGGTGGGATACAGGTGCGGGGTGAACCATACATCTTTTGGGGGTGAGATGAAACAGTCCATTTACCCCTGGACCCATCCGTAGGCAAGGGCATTGTCCGGCTAGCAGAGAGGACTGTTCTCATCCTGGCTGTATTATTTATGAATAATTATATTTATCTACCCTCTCCAACAGGTCACCATGTCCCATCCCATGGAGAGAGCAGCTGGAGCTGTGACTCAGGCCAGCTGAGAGGGGCTGCAAGTTCCCCATGCTCCCAAATCTGCTCTGGAGGCATTGATGCACTCACACCTGTTCAGATGCTGACACTGTGGGAACAGGCTCCCCACCACATGCTTCCTTGGCCTGCTGGGGTTCAGCATGAGACATTCCTCCATTTCTCCTGGGACCCTGGTATCTGCATATATGTCCTTGGATTTCTCCATTCATCTCACTCTGGAAGTGCTCTGTGCCGTTCTCCTGGGAAGAAGGGCTGCCCTCATAAGCAAGCAGTACCCCAGACTCAAGGAGTTTTACACAGTTTTACACATTTTTGTTGTTTCTGTACTGTGTTTTGCTTTGGTTTGGATTTTATGGGCAATTCACTAGAGGACTGATGGAAAGGAGTGAAATGTACAGATAGACACATCTACCAGTTCTAGCTACAAAAACCATTTTGTACAGTTCACCTTCTTGCTGTCTTCTGCCAGTTGCCACACATCTCCCTCACATGCCCCTAGATTCTTGTTCATCAGAGTATCGCGAGCCCAGATACTCCTGGGCAAAGAACCAGAGGGAGTTTAATAAACCTGTTTACCAGAGTGAGCCTTTCTGACATTAAATCACTGTCAGCATCCCACTTGGAGGGAGGAAGAATGTAGCTCTGAAAAGATGACATCAGGATGTTTCCTTTCCTTTCTTCCCCTCGAATCTTTTCTTTCCATGCCAGGCAGGAGGCAGTGCTTGGAGTAGTTTTTCCTTACAGGGCAGAGTTCATGCTTTGGTGCAGAAGGACCTCTAGTGTCCCTTCCCAGCTGATGCGTTGGCATGACTGCTCTAGTTCGGTATTTCTTGATCTCGAGACTTTCCTGTATACTGTGGAAGGAGATAAGATCCACAAAGTTCATGTAGGGAAGTGGCTGGGAGAGATAAGGCTGGGGTGCTCCTCCCTGGGCGGAAGTCATTTACTGTATGCCCCAGCCTCACCTCCCATGGCTCCTCCACATCCTTTTTTCTTCACCTCAGGGACCTCCAGGTGCCTCTTTGTGCATCACAGGATGCTCCATTTTAATACATTAGATGCTCCTGCTGTCTCAGTAATTAATTTTCCACTGAATTTCAGTGAACATCAGTGTAAATCTGTAGATTCATGCTGTCTTTCTTGGGACTTTTGTAGAGTGCTCTACCAAAATCTCTTCTTAGTATTCAGCAGCATAAAATTCTCATAAACAGACTGAATTTAATTTATCAGTGGCAGCTATTACGAATACAACAAAAGTGATCTTATGTTTTGATCTGTTTCATCATTCACACGGGTATCCCTTATTTCATCACCAAGGTTGTCCTACATGCATCACTCCAGTGAGACTGTGGTGAGGCAGGCAGGGCGGTCTTTCTGGGACAGAGGAAGCTCACAGGGTCTTTGAAGGACAATGGAAGCAGGTAGCTTTTAGATGCTGATGTATTTCCAAACCGAGCATTTCACTTGCGGTTTGACTTCCCCCAGCCAAGCAGCCCCTCTGGGTTTGCGTGGGCTCTTAGCTGGGATACAGCTGAGCAGCAGAGTAGGTCTCTCGACTCTCCACAGGATGGACACGGGCGGGTCACTCTCCGAAGTGAATAATAAAGTCATTCTGCACATGGAAGATGCCGACATCCCTCCACTGCCTTCTGCTTTGCCCTCTCCTCCCACCTGGGCAGCAGCAACTTCGCAGGCTGAAGAGAGCCGGGAACCCACCAGAGCCTACTAGCCCACGCCTGTTCACCGCAGGAGTCAGAATTTCCCAGCTCCAGGCTCCTAAGTATCAGGAATCCCTCCTGCTGCTCCTCCCGCTGCCGCCGCCCCTGGTGAGTTTCGGTTTCCATTTCCCCGGCGCTGCGTTCCTGGCGCTGCCTGGGCGCTCCCGAGCTGCCGGCGGGCGAGGGATGGCGGAGGGACGGCGGCGGCAGCGGGGCCGGGGGCGCAGCCGGGGAGGTACGAACCGGCGGGAGTGGCGCGGTCGGGAGGACGCCGGGAGACCCCCGGGGATGGGTCCGCGAGTGGGCGAGGACGGGTCCGTGCAGGTGGAACCGCTGGAAGTGCAGCAATCTGCTGTGCGGCTTCTCGGGGACGGGGCGTGAGGGGATTAAACGCGTGCGAGATTGGAAGGAGGGAGAACGTGCTGGGGAATAGACTGGGATTTTCCTCGCTAGTTCCATGTCTGATGTGTGAGAAGGGTGGGCAGCGAGTCTCTGGAGGTGTTAGGTAAATTAGGGCAGGCTTTGCTGATGACCGCCTTTCACTCTTGGACATCCTGGGTCTCAGGCACTTGTGCTGGAGCAGAGGTACATGCGAGTAACTGAGTCCCTGGTGCCTCTAGGTCGGGATAGCATCTGCATCCCCTCAGCTGTAGACAAGGGGGTACTTTTTTCTGCTGTAAAGAGGCAATGAGTGAATTTTCCATCCTTGCTTCTCCAGCACCTTGTAAAGTGCTTGATTTGAAGGCGTTCCTATCCCCAAGGCTGTGACAAGTCTGGGGTGGCCAGATGCCTCAGGAAGTGCTTTGTCTCTGTAAGACAATCTCCACAGGTGTACAAGTGCAACAGACTGTGCTTCTGCTGATGTTTCACTGGTTGTCTTGGGAGCCTGTGGCACAGCAGCCTAAGAGATAGAGAAGGGTCCTTCAGTGTGGAGTCATCCAGCATGAAACAAACCAGTGGGTAGGCAGGACACTGAAACCCTAAGGAGCCTGAGAAAATAAGTCACACACACTTGTCTCACTGTCTCCTGAGAAGCTGAAGCTCTTGCTGAAAGCAGTAGCACACTGAGACTTTGGGAAAGGGGCCAAGGTGGTTAAAGTGCCAGCTCCCATAGCGTAACCACCGTGTCTGTCTGTGTGTGTCCTACAGAGCACGCACAGTCGCCGAGGAATGAGGAGGTGTGCTGCTCAAACCACGATGAAACACATAAGCTCATTCTTTCACCTAACGGGAAGCTTTCTGAACACTGGGCTAAAGATTCAGCAAACTGCCCCAAGACAAGGTAAGAAGCTCTCACAGAGTGAAGGTATGGATGGCAATGGTCAGAAA